TATGGAATATGAAAATGAAAAAGTAGCCAATCTTCAAAGCAGACTGGAGAATAATATATAGAGAAATAATTATTGTATTGTCAAAAAAGGCAAATACATTGAGAGACATACAGAAAAATCCTATTCAAGTTTAAAGTAATACTATATTAAATTTCTCTGGGGTAATTTGGAGAAACTTAATGCAGAAGGTGTCAGTAAAATGAAGTCATCAAAGATAGGTAAATATATGGAAGCATAATCAGAAATAATGGCCTTTTCAGGTGGGGCAGGAAATCTACAAAGAACAAAGGCATAGTGAAGAGAAGTCTCAAACGTGCTTAGATGACGGAAAAGTTTACTTTCACTGGAATGGGAGTTTTTGAAGCTGTGTAATGGGAGAGAGGTAGAGAGTTAGGTTGAAGTTTCACAAATTGCTGAACTTGAATACCAAGTGTATTTGGTAGACAATGGCAAGCCACTAAAAGATTTTCAAAGTATAAAACTATGTAAACAGATCCGTGTTGTAGTCATATTATTTTGTCAATAGATATTGGTGTACAAATGAGTGATGTGAGACCAGAGGCAAGGGAAGCATTTAGGAGATGTTTGCAGCTGTCCTGGAGAAGCTATTCAGGGACTGTTTTGTATACTTGGGCTGGCACTGGCAGAGGTCATGTGCTACAGAGGCTGGAGAGGAAGAACCAGCCAACCCAAGTTATTGAATATGTTCTCAAAGATGACCTTTAAGTGATCTGGCAGGACAGATTCTGAAAATGACTGTATTACTATTATTATTATTTTTTTTAATGGCAAATGTAGGGGAAACAGGAATGAGCACCATTTTGGACATACTGAGCTTAATATGCCATGTGAATATGTCAGGGAATCAATTTGTAATGTTCATGAGATTTTTGAGTTGTTCCTGGAGTTATCTATCTGCGTAATGATGAAAGACAGAGACTGTGGGGGACTGAGTTGAGGCAGAGACTCCCTTTTTTGTTCCGATTACAAACACATAAATATAACCACTTATAAAACATACAGCCAAACTCAGAAAGGAAAGTCCTCAGATTTCATCAAAGAAAGTGTGGTAAGCATGCAGGTTGATGCCACTAACACATGGGGTATCTATTTCAGATATCCCTAGTGGCTTGAAAATGGGATTTTAATGTCTATATGGGAAAAGACAGATATTCTACTAAAACATGGATTTGAAAGTGATTATTCTTGGAGGCGGGAATCACCTCCTTGTAAATGCAAAGTCAGTGGAACTTGTTGGTATATCCTGGAAACCCAAATTAAGAAATTCAGGTAGAAATTTGTCCAAGAACTGGTGAAGTCCATAGAGCAAGGGCCAAAGGAAGTCAGATCTTGTTTATAGAGACATTTGAATAAGTCAAGACTCTCATGGAATTCCTACAGAAACTAAAATCACTGTGAAAAGACACAGTAAAATTTATAAACCACATGATGATACACAGTGTATGCTAAGAAAAAAATAAGCAAAAAAATATAGGAAAACTTTAACAGAAAGGAAGGAAATAGGACAATCTGAAGAGAGATTGTAAATTAACTCCTCAAAATAAAGAGGAAAAGGAAGAACATAAAAGAACAGATATTTATAAAAAATAAGCTTTTACAAAAAGAAACATTTCTTTAAATTAAAAATACATATATTAAATGAAAATGATTGCATTGAACAGCAGATTATATACAGTTGAAAGGGGTATTAGTGACTGGAAGTAGGATTTAAGGAAATTGCAATAATAAAACACAAAAAATTAATAGAACTTTTGGAAGTGAGGTTAAGAGAGAATGCCTAACAAAATTTTCAGGAGAAAAAAAGGAAATCAGATGTGAGCGATAGGTTTGATGAGTTAATACCTTGAGGATTTTCTAGATTTGAAGAAAAACATCAATGTAAATATTAAAAAAGTATAACAAGTCCTGACATTCTCATGGTAAAATGTAGAATATTAGATATAAACAGAATCCTAAAGATAATAGAGAACAAATTACTATAAAATTGCTATAAAGGCATTACCAATGCATTAGATAGCAAAATTCTCATCAGCAAAACTGAGACCAGAGATAGTGAAATATGTTCAAAAAGGCAGAATAGCTTAACTTAGAATTTTATACCTAGCCAAATATTATACATTAATTAAGGTGAAATAAAATCATTTGCTGACAAAATGGCCTGCAAAACTCAACCATTGGTGGAAAAAAGCACTGAAGGACATTAAGCCAGAAGTAAGAAACTGGATAAAAGAAAGAAATGGAGAGGTTGTGGTTTGGGGCTTCATCAGAGTAGAAACGATTTGAGATAGGTCTGTGAGAAATTTAACCACCAGTCAATCAAAAATAGATCAAAGGTTCTATGGCATAATAGTGAGGAGATTCTTGAGACTAGCTACTCTCAAATCTGTGTATTGTCCCCTTTTCTATGCAAGGGAATCAAGCAATCCAGGGGAGGTAGTATTGCTAATGGTTTAGTGGTTTTCAATTTTGACAAAATAATGGAGATTTAGAAATTATTTTGAAATATTAGTGGTTGAATTTCATTCCCTAAGTTTGTGATTTAATTGGTTTGGAGTGTGTCTTAACCATCAGGGTTTTGTTTTTTAAGCTCCCCAGGTGATTCTGTGTGGGCAAGTTTGAGAGCCACTCTAATAGATGGCTAGAGAAGAGCAGAAATCTAGACGTTGACTCTAGCCACTAGTCAAAGCAGATGATGTAAACTATTTTTATCATGGTAGAGACATTCTCACACTCATGAAAGTATTTCACTTATTACCAGCAGCAAGCTTTTTCTGTAAAGGACCAGACGGTAGTATTTTAGGTTTTGTGGGTCAAATGGTCTCTGTGTGACTCCTCATCTCTGCTCTTACAGTGCGGAAATAGCCATGGATAATAGGTAAACAGAAGGGCATGGCATTGTTCCAATAAAATTTTACTTGCAAAAGACTAATGAGCAGGATTTGGCCTGTGGGTCTTAGTTTGCCAACCTGTGCTTATAGAATATTAAAGTAAGTTAATGAACATAGTTGAGAATCCTTATGTTTGTGGAATCGGTGGAATATGAAAACCAGGCAAACCTGGAAAGGAATCAGGGAAAACGTGAGTGAATGAAAATGCACGTGGCCAACTTAAAATTAGGGCACAAAGGGGTAGCTATGGCCAGATTAGTTGAGTATGCAGGAGAGGTTGGTTTTGGTTTGCTTTTATTGTTTTGCCCTTTTTTTCCCTCTATTTTTTTCATATATATATATATATATATATATATATATTTAGAGGGATGGCATGTAAATGCATGGCTTGGATTTTCTATTTAATCACATTTAGACATTTTGGGTTTAGAATAAATGTGATTATACACACACACACAGAAAATACATATTTATCTATAATCATTGTATCTGCATTGAAAATGTTTGTTCTTTTTCAATCTTAGCCTCCTTTTCCAAGTGTTAGGTTTATGTAACATTTTCTTTCCAGTTGTCTTGATTAAATTTATACAGATTATTCAAACAAGATTAAATTATAGTAATTATTAGAGCAGAGAAATGGATTTCCTCTCCAGCATAACTTTCAAATTTTAATTGAATTAACCTCTTAATTCCTTCTCTGTCTTCATCACTGCTTACCTGATTTAGTAAATTGCTTATTTATTTGAATCACAAAACACAACTTTTATTCATACTTTAATACTTTTGAAATTGGATTACATCTTTGGAATCAGTGGGTATGGATTAAATCATTGAATATATAGTTTACTTTTTCATTCCAAAATCTGTTATGAAATTCATAGTATATCTTATAATGGATAGCATCTTAGAATCATAGAAATAACGGTTTTATGGTTTGTCTTGTTTTGGCCTGTACCTTTCCTCTGGCAACCACTTCCAGAGTTC